AGTCGTTTGATGTTCAGTAGGGAGTCGGTGACGACTTCGGTTGTCGCCCTTCCGGCTGCTCAAACCTTATGCCCAATGATGAACTAAACTGAGGGTTGAGCACCTCTCAATTATTTCTTACTTCTCGTCTCTCAGTCCACTTATGCAATGATTATTCTGTTTACCGGTTGTGTTTTGCAGATGAGTTATTGGTGGCAGCCACGAGTACGGCATCACAATTGACTGATGTGCGAAGATACTAATTAATATCCTTGCTTTATTGTAACAGGTGGCATTTTCAGGCAGTTTTGGGATACTCGTAGTTTACCGCCGGATTTTCGGAGCTTAGAACAAGAGGGAGTTGGTACTCTGCATGTTGGGAAGAGCTGTCCACACTTACTTGCATCCTTGTAGTTCTAGGGAAAGTTGTAACAGAGTGGTCTAATTGTTTTGAAATTGGTTTATTCTGAGGGGTACATATTTGTAAGGTTAAATTGTGGCATTGTAACATTACCCTGGATGAACATAGTCGTATCATATAGTACGTGAGTTCCTTGTCATTGCTTTGAAGATGCTTTGTAAATAACCGTGGGGATATGTAGACTTCTTTGCATTTGTAACTCATGGATTCAAAGATAAATTTCAAATATTCGAAGTGACTTTCCCTTTCACGGTGTCTTGGATTTTCCAAACCTTCCCTACTTCGAAAGCACCATGGTAGAATGGAAATTGAACTTATTTTGAAAATGAAGTTAAAACAGCCTTTGAATCTTAAGTGGCTCCCGCGTATAAATTCAGTTTATGGTCTTGAACACCATGAACTGTCTTAGACCTCGTAGCAACAACTCGTCTTCTGAGCATGATGAGCTTGACACTGTTGACGTTAAAACTTGCCGCAACTGAATGAAAATAAAACCCCCTCGTATTCTGAATTACGCCTGATTCTTATATAACTCTGAGATTAAGAACTTGCATTTCGTGCCCTCCACCATTCATTAATCCTCGAGTTCAATATCTCTTTTGAATAGACTCAGTTATCCATCATATACCCACTTTCTCTTGAGATACTTAAGGGAAACCCTTGACCGTAACTCTCGGTAACTTCCAGACTATGCCGCACTTTGTCACATGACTTAAAGATCCTGAGGCTTGAACAAATCTCAAGTCATGAGACCAAAATAATCTCCCCTTGATAAGGGGAAAAACAATAAAAGGGGACCGAGATCTCGATTGACAGGGACTAAACACAGAAGACCTCCAGAGGCATTTTTAAAGCAAGGTAAACCTGCACAAACTTGTTAGTCGCACATGAGAGATAAAAGGTAAGAAGACCAAAAGAGAGGTAGAATCTTATGGTCAAAAATTAGGGTGTGACAGATACGTAGGCACAAAGGCCCCAATCCTTTCCGAGCATGTTCCCATATTTCTACCCTTAGTTCCCCGAACTATGTTGACTCTGACTTTCTCATATCTATTGAGAATACGTAGGCCTAGGACTGCGAAGTCCTACCGAGTCTCCCTTCTCCCCCTTTACCTCTCTTTCCCCTATTTCTAACCCTTCTCTTTATCCCTTATAACACACGTAAAAAGCAATATATTTTAGCAGATACCTTCACACATAGACAAACAAATGGTTCCTGTCGAGTAGGATGGATGCGTGGGGTGCTAATACCTTCCATTTGCATAACCGGCTTCTGAACCTGTTCTTTGGTCACAAGACCATATTATCCGTTCTTATCTTAGGGTTTTCTCGATGTTTTCCCTTCCCCTCATGGGATAAATAAAGTTTGATGGCAACTCTTCTTTTTTTCATTTTTGCCTCTCCGTCGTTGCATTTTTTCCGAGTAGCGACAAGACGACTCAGATTCCTCAAAAAATGACTTTAAGGAAGTTCAACAAAATGTAGCAGTAATGGTTTGTACAGAAGCCCCTACTGAGAAAGATCCTTTAGAAACGCAATCTGATTCAGACTTAGAAGAGGTATTTTCTGAACTTTCTCGTTCTGAGCTTGAATCAAGTTTACCAGAAGTTCTAGAAAAATATCAATATCTTTTGGACAAATACAAGGATTCGAAGAAGATTCATGTATCTGAATCAAAAGCTTACTGTAAGCTCAAAAAGATTTTTAAAGTTTGAGTGAAGAAAATCTTATTTTGAAAAACAACTATGTGCCTCAAAGCAAGAGTCTCAAACCTGAGAAGAAAATCATTTCTAAAGTCTCTACAAATTTTGGTGATATCATAAAGAAATATGATAAATATTTGTCTAAATTTCTCGCTAGAAGCCTGAATAGAAGCTTAATGGCTTCCATGATTTATGGTGTTAGCAAAAATGGGACAATGGGTATTAGCTATAATTCTGATGACGAATCTGATTCTGAAAAAGATGATAAGCCAAATACTCTTCAGTCTTATTTTTTTCCTTCTAGGAAACAAAATGATGTTAGGCCTAAAGGTAGAACTATCTCTAAACCTAAGGCTAAAGAAAAACCTCATGCCCATTCTAATCATGCATTCATGTATAGATATCCTGCACAGAAACCCAAAGTTGTAAAAAACTCAGGGAAGACTAACCCTAAAGGACCCAGAAAGATATGGGTACCTAAAGATAAGATAATCTATGTTACAGATATCCTTGACAGTAGAGTTAAGACACCATTCATGGTACCTGGACTCTGGATGCTCGCAGAACATGACGGGAAGAAGGCATATGTTCCAAAGCCTAGAACTTAAGCCTGGAGGCATTATTGATTTCGGAGGCGATTGAAAAGGAAAGATCATTGACTCTAGAACAATTGGTAATGGTTATCTCCCCTCTGTTACTAATGTTCTTTAAGTTGAAGGGTTAATGCATGATCTATTTCCCATAAGTGAATTAAGTGACAATGGTTATGACATAATCTTCAACCAAAAGTCTTGCAAAGCTATCAGTCAAAAGGATGGATCAGTTCTTTTTAACGGAAAGAGTAAAAACAAAATTTACAAGATTAGACTTTCTGATCTGAAAAATCAGAATGTTAAATGTTTTAAATTTCTAAATAAAGAGCAATGGACATGGCATAAACGATTGAACCATGTTAGCATGAAGAGGATTTCTCAGCTAAACAAGCTTGATTTAGTCAGAGGCCTTCCTAAGCAGAAGTTCACTTCAGATGCTCTTTATGAAGTATGTTAGAAAGGCAAGTTTTCTAAGAGTTCTTTCAAAGGTAAAAATGTTGTTTCCACCTCCAGAATATTGGAACTTCTGCACATTGACCTTTTTGGACCAGTGAAAACTGGTTCAGTTAATGGTAAGAAGTATGGACTAGTCTTTGTTGATGACTACAGCCGATGGACATGGGTAAGTAGCTAATTTTCAAATTGAAAGTTTAGTAAGTAGCTAATTTGAAAACCATATTTTGATTTATAAAAACTAAAATATATAGGTTAAGTGCAATAATGTTGAAATATATAAATAAATATGTTTAGTTTGAGCGATATTAAATGTCTAAATAATGTTTTGTTTTGTAGTATCCATGCAAATTAAAAAACTATTGACATTTTCTTGCTTTAGTGTTATCATATTTCAACTTCTACGTCGTTTCTTAATACTGACCATTTCTTTCATATTTTATCATAGTAAATGTTGATCTTTTATCAGAAAGAAAAATAAATATCCTGACCTAAAACCTAATTTATCACCTTTTGCACAGACTCATATAACGTAAATTTATGTTCAATGTTAAGTTCTTTTTTAATATCAATGTATATAACATCAAGTAGAGGAACTCCCAACATACCATCCTCTAATGCATTGGTTGGATTGACAACGTCAGGCTACACTATACTTATAATCTTCTTTTTTTGAATCAAGGAAGAATATATTAATTCAAAAAACAAAGTCAAGTACAAAAGTGATCCAAAGAGGATCCAACTCCCTAACCGACTTAATTACATCATAAGACTAGCTTAATGTTTCCTAATTCTATTGTTTTTCCAGCCTCTATAAATCACATTATCTATGATTTTTTCAACCATGTTTGTATTTTCTACTATGTTTCCAAAAGTAATACTATTTCTGTAAATCCAAATGTTGTAGACCGTTTCGGCTGTTACCATCTTCAAAACATCAGCTTTCCAATCTTTCCCCTTTGTTTGATTAGTGATCCATATCAGTTCCGTATCCCATTGTTGGGGCTCATGCTGTATGTTGAACCATTTGAGAATTTCTACCCAAATGTGTTTTGTTCTTGGACAGGAGAAGAACAGGTGGCTTATCGTTTCCTCCTCCGATTTGCATAAACTGCAAATGCTATCTTCAATTACCCCAAAATGTTTCAATCTTTCTTTGGTTGCAAGCTTCCCATGACAAGCTTGCCATAAGCATTGGATTGCTCGCGGGTGTCCTTTGTTGTACCCGATCAGTCTTCTCTAGTGCACCCTTGTGCCATCATCAATTAATAATTTATAAAACGTTGCCGCTTTAAACTTACGCGTGGTCATAGCTTGGTTCCATTCATGCCGAATCAAATCCATATTATCTCTTTGTTTCAAAATGCCCCGCATGATCCAAGAATTGTGTGGTTTGGGAACATAATTCATCACATTATCGCCTTTTAAGTACTGAGTATGTATTCATTTAACCCAGAGTGTGTCTGTTTTGTTGCAGAGGTTCCAGAGGCATTTCAAGAGAAGTAGGTTTAGAATGTTCAACCCACCTTGCATAGCAGGCTTGCACGTGGTTTTCCACGCCACGGGGAACTTCCTGCTCGCAGCCTCTTTTCCTGTCCAAATGAAGCTCCGACAGATTGCATCGATTTTTTTGATCACATATTTGGGCAGAGGGAGGCAGTGCATCCAGTATTGTACCATTGCATAAGCTATGCTTTTCACTAGTTGAATTCTACCGGCATAACTTAGGAGCCTAGAGGACCAATGATGAATTCTAGCCACTATTTTATCCACCAACGACATAAAGTGGGTGATGGTTAATCTTTTGCTAGTAAGAGGGATTCCTAGGTATTTGACAGGTAGTGCGCCTTCCTAGAAACCCGATAGTTCCTTCAATCTCGTTCTAGTTTCCATATCCATACCTCCAAAATAAATCTTGCATTTGTTAGGGTTCATCTTCAGACCTGTGGATTTGGAGAAATTTCTGAAAGTTTCTAACATCATTTTCATTGAAGTTTCGTCACCTCTACATAGTAGCAGTATGTCATCTGCAAAAGTGAGGTTGGTAATTTTCAGACTCTCACATTTGGCATGGTAACTGAAATTGGGATCCCTTTGCATTTTGACCAATAACCTGTTCATGTACTCCATAATGAGGACAAATAGTAGAGGTGATAGAGGATCACCCTGTCGAATCCCTCTTTTGGCTTGAAGGACCTCAGTGTAACCCCCCATGATGTTAAACCTGTAGGATACCGTGGTGATGCCAATCATAGTCCACTGGATGAATTTATTTGGAATGCGTACCTCCTTCATTATGAACTCCAGTGCTTTCCAATTAACCATATCATATGCTTTTTGAAGGTCTACTTGCATCATAATTCTACGTGTGCCCCCTTTTCTAGTGTATCCTTTTATGAGTTTAGTAGCTAGCATGATGTGGTTATGAATGTTTTGACCCTGTATAAAAGCTGCCTGATTGTGGCTTATCACACTAGGAAGGACAGATCCCAATCTGTCAGTCAGGATCTTGGAGATGATTTTATAAAAGGTGGTGCATACAGCTATGGGTCTGTAATCTTTAATCTCACAAGCCTCATTGCTTTTTGGAATCAAGGATACTACAACATTGTTGAACGGTTTGTATATTTTACCTATTTCAAAAAACTCCCTTATCGCTGCTATCACATCAGTTTTGATGGTTGTCCAGCTGGCCTTGAAGAATTTGGCTCCATAACCATCCAGGCCTGGTGCTTTGAGGTCGCCAATTCCTCTAAGGGCTTTGAAGATATCGTCCTCTGTGATATTTCTGGTGAGATATTCCCTCTGCTCCAAGTTGAGTTGTTTTCCCATTCTCATAGCCTCAATATCTATATGGTTAATATTGGTATCCTCTTTGCCCATCAGATTTTTGTAGAAAACCATCACTTCCTCTTCAATATCATTCTGGTCTGATAGATGTCTGCCATCACTTCTTCGCAGGTTGGAAAGGCAGGTGGAATGGTGTTTAGTTTTGACAGCAGCATATAAGTAATGATTATTTCCATCTCCTTTCCTAATCCAGTCGATTTTTTCCCTTTGTTGTAAAATTTTCCATTCAATCTCGTTTAGTTCTATCACTTCCTCAGTCAGATCCCTTGCCTTTCCAATTAAGGTGGTATTCATTCTATCCCTAGTCAGCTGCTCTTGTATGTTTTTGAGGTTGTCTCTGGCTGTTGTTAGTTTGTTTCTGATATCAGAAAAAGGCTTGCTAAAGGCTTTTAGTTCCTGCTGCAATCTTTTGAGTTTTTGCCATAATACATACATTGGACTGCCTCTCATATACATATCCCAGCTCCTCTTTATCAGTTCATCATATCCAGGTAGTTCAGTAATGTAATTGCTAAACTTAAAATGTCAGGTATTTTTCCTTTGTTCCTTAGTGTCTAAGTAGAGCAATGCATGGTCAGAAATATTTGGAGGAAGTATTTTCAGCACAGTTTCCATATTGGTGAGGAACCACTCAGTATTACCCAAAATTCTGTCAATCCTTGAGTAGATGGGTGCAGCTGCTTGCTTATTGGACCATGTGAAATGGTCCCCAATGCTGTCCATCTCATTTAAACAGGTATGCTCCATCATTCTATTCAGATCCTCATATTCCCTTTCTGTTACCAGGTTACCCCCCATTCTGTCTTGGGCTTTGAGCACATTATTGTAATCACCAATGATACACCAGGGACCTTGGATGTGGCTAGACATGTGCTCAATTTACTTCTATAGGATTCTTCTGTTGTGTAATTGGTTATGTGCATAAACAGCAGTCAACCAGTGTTTGAGTGTTCCACTATTATCATATATACCACAGTGGATCAATTGGCTGGTACTATGCAGAAATCTCATATCCACCCTGTTTCTGTCCCAATGAATCCATATCCTCCCATTTGTGTGGTCTTTGTAGTTGTCCATGTGATTCTCATACAACATCATTTTTTCTCGAATGGCATTTGCTTTTGGTTCTTTGACTCTTGTTTCAATCAAAATGATTATTGCAGGCTTTAGATCTTGGAGACGGGACTTAATCTCACGCATTTTGCCTACTTTATTGAGTCCCCTTATGTTCCATGAGACTAACATGGTTCAAGGTTTGTGACCATCTGGTGATCATTCAATACCTCTAGTGATTCAAACCCATTAACACAGTATATGCTGCTAGTTGTATCAGATATTATGTTTTGTCCTTTATCTCGTACAAATTTATTCACCCTTGTCCAAGATACTCCTTCTTCATTTGTTGGTTTCTCCCGTATTGGTTGTTGTGTCGGTGTTATGATTGTGAGTTTTTCCTTTTTTATGGGTTTTGGTATCCATTTTTTAACCTTGCCTCTGTCTTCACAGTTATGTCCCAGTTTTTGACATGTTTCACAGAAGGTGGGCCTCCATTCATATTGTACTGGCTGCATTATGATATCTCCTGCAACATTCCTTATGGTGATTTCATCAATCAATGGTTGTGTAATATCTACTTCAATCAGTATTCTAGCATACGAAACATGCAATTTGTACGATGTGCATTCATCAGTCACCAATGGTTTGCCAATGGCACTTCCAATCTTGCTAAGGCTTTTTGCTTCCCAAAGATGCAGGGGAAGTTGGGTAGTTTGATCCATATTGGTAGTGTTCTGAGTAGGTCCTGCTTTAAGTTGAAACCAGATTGCCATTCTTTCAGTATCATGGGCATATTTCTAATTGTGTAGGGGCCTTTCATCATGACAGCTTCCTTGTCTTCGTGCGAGTTAAATCTGAGCAGAAAATACCTGTCATCGTGGTAGTAAAGATCTGGCATCTTGATGAAATTCCACATTCTTTGCATAAAATTCTTCACCGTGTTCAGGCTCAAATCATCTCCCACAACATACAGTATGAGAGCATTATCCCAGAATCATAATTTTGTTTCAATGTCTTCCTGTTCAATATCTATTTCAATCACTCCATTAATTACCTTTGGTGCAACGTATTCCATAGACAATCCCTTAGTAGGGTTCCGATTATCACTAATAACGTCAACCCAGAGTTTCCGTTCTTCCGGCTTCACCTGTGTCTGTTCTGTTAGGGTTTCGGTGGGCACTTTCTCGTTTATCTTCTCAGTACTTTTCCCAGCTTCGCTCATCGTAGTGGTGACTCTTGAAACAACCTTTGGTGTATTAGAGTTGGTAAGAGTCTCCGGTGACGGTGGAACCGTGGATTTCGGCCGCCCGCGTCCCCGTTTCGTCATCGACATCTCCGTTTCAAATCTGATTTGTGTATATCATTGAAACTCCATTTTACCATACTTATAATCATTGAAAACATACAACATTCAAGTAACCATTTCAAATATCTAGAAGTTAATATCTAAAGGAAGTTTAAAAGGTTTCAAATGGTATCTTCTAGACAACTTTCTTAATGCAGAAAAAACCAAATTATGAAATAATGAGAAGAGATAGAGATATATATTGCCCTACTTTAGGACAATTATGAGATTTACGATGTCAAAATATAATTGAATTTTGTTATCAAATACAATAATGAATAAGAAAGAAATAATTTTTAAGAGGATTTAAGAAAATATGACATAGGATCTTGAGTGAAAGGATTTAAGAAATTAATCATGCAAAAAAAATGTTACGATCCAAAAGTTAACCTCAAGACAATGTAACTTGGTGTCTGAAAATTATCATCCGAACACGTAATTTTCACACACCTGTTTCATAAAGTTTGAGATACAAATATATGATGTAATAAATAATCCTTTTACTTTTTCATCTTTGTTTATTGGACTTTGTACAATGGCCTATTTGTATTCCAATTGTGTCTCAAATAATGCCTTATTTGTAAATTAGAAATAATGTGAGTGTTGTTCATTACACCTCATATAGTGATCACACACTCTATGGAAATTTCAAAATGTTTTTCCTATACTCCAGATTTTAATCTTCGGACGCGCCCATTCTTTAACAAAATCACTTCATGACTAGGGCACCCTCATTTTTGTCACAAAATTGGTTTGGATTGTAATCTATGTATCATAGGTCCATATTACAATCTCCTGATATACCATTTGACAGTGTTTTCCACCCTTTGATAGTAAGTTAGATAAAGTTTGACATTTTTTTTAATAAAGTTGAATTATAAATCATTTATAAACCAATTCCATAATAAACCACACACATTCGTCGCTCAATAATAAAATCAAAATAGAAGAAATACTAAGTATATACAAATGCCAATATGTTAGATACAAAATGTCACCATATAATGAATCTAATTATAAATCCTAATACAAAATTGTCAAAATATACAAGAAGAAGAAGAAGAAGAAGAAGAAGAAGAAGAAGAAGAAGAAGAAGAAGAAGAAGAAGAAGAAGAAGAAGAAGAAGAAGAAGAAGAAGGGCAGATTCATATGACAAAGAATAAGAAGAAGTGGTTTTTTTAAGCCATTTATGGATCCAAGAAAGTTGGAGCCAACAAAGAAGTAATTTGCTTTGAATGCAATGAGTCGGGTATTTACAATAATGACTTCCCCAAGTTGAAGAAGGACAGATCCAAGAAGAAATACTTCTGAGGGTAGAAGAAGGGTCTAATGATAACATGAGACGTGTTGCACCCCAAAATTTTCCCTCACTTTTTCTAACTTTGACTGGTTTTTGCTTCGCACTCATATGCATTTTCATTAGGCCATAGTTCGTAATCATATTTTGCATTGGTTTTTTTAAGACATGGGATCATGAGTTTTCTCTGAATCAAATCATCGAGTTTCATGGCATTTAAACACGTGTCCACCCACAATTGAGTGATTTTCTGAATCTCTATTATTTTGTCCAATGAGAGCGTGACACGTGGCCAAAGGATGTTATTTTTGTAAATACTAATTCCATTTTTAGTTTCCTAACTTTTTTTCTTACATATTTTTTTTGTTTGTTAATAGTATTAATAGTAAAATTGTAATATATTAATTAATTAATAGATTTTTTTTAGAACTAGACTTTTTAGAATAGAATTATTAGTTAATTGGATTTAATTATGAATAGAATTAGGATTTTATTTAGAATTTAGAAATAGTTTTAAATTAGAAATTAGAATTTTCATTTAGAATTAGAGTTATTAATCAAGTACAATTTAGAAATAGTTTTGAATTAGAAATTAGAATTAGAGTTTAGGATTTAGAAAATAGATTTTAATTAGAATTTCAAATAGAATTAGAACTTTTATTTTAAAAAAATAGGATTATTTTTTTTATTAAAATAGAATTAATTAGAATAGGATTAAATTATTAATTAAGAGTTAGTTTAGAATAGATTTTTTTTATTTATTTATTTTTAGATTAGAGTTCTATTATACAGAAAATTAAAGGAAAAAAAAAGAGAGAGGACACGATTTTTCAGAGGATATAAATGGTAGCCCTTCCACTGTTCATGATCTTCCACATTGACATAACCTAGCCGCCGAACCTCCATATCCAACCTCAACTCTCCGAAAAAGTCCTCAGCCATCTTCATCACCATTCCCGTAACGTTTCTCACTCAAACTCTTCCTACACCCTTCATCTTTCTCCCTCTCGCTGAAACCCATCCTCCCTCCTTTCCGTTTTCCGCCGCGACGTCTCTCAACACCTTCCGTACCACCCCTTTTAAAACTCATTTCCTTCATAAACAAAACAGAACCATCACAAACCGAAAACCCACATCCAGAACTTCCAAGCCAAAACCATTTTTCAACAAAGCCAGTTTGAACCCAAATCAAAATCAAACCCAGAAGGAGAAAGGGAAGAGTACGTAAAATCTGAAGATCTCCAAACTTTAAGAAATTCCCAAAAACTGAACTTAACTTGCATCAACAACATGAATCTGAGCGAGACTTGTTCGCAAACAATACAAATTCAGAAAACCAGAAACAAATTGAAGAAGAAGAGAATGTCGTCTTCTGCATTTTTATTTTCAGACACCTAAGAACTACACGACCACGATTGACTTTGTGGGAAGTTTTGGGTTCGAGGCCCAATAAAAGTTTCTAATCACAATCTCATCTGTTTGTATACCCCCTCCCTCAAGGCCTTTTTTTTTTCTTTTTTTTTCTTTTTTTTAAAATAAAATTTTAGAGTTTTCTTTTATTTTTATTAGTTTTTAGGAATTGTAAAATATTATCTAAATATGTTTTTAGAGTTTTTTTTATATATAATTCTTTTCTAAATAGTTTTCTGAATTGTAAATATTTTTTCTAATTAGTTTTTTTAAAGAATTGTTAATATTTTGTTATAAGTTAGTTTTTAGATTTCTAATATTTTTTAAGATTTATTTTTTTTTAGATTTATATGTATATTCTTCTAATCTAGTTTTCTAGAAAGTTTGTCAATATATTTTGCTAATTAAATTTTAGAGTTCTTATATTTTTCTAAATTTGGATTTTTAGGGTTTTACTATATTCTTCTAAAAATTAGATTTTGGTTTTCTTATTTATCTTTGAGGTTTTATTTTTCGGTCGATGACGAGACCTCCAAAAAATCATTACTTGTCAAACTATTGATAAATAATGATGAATCCGAGACCACTTTTTCTCTCATCATTTCTTCTTCATTTTTTGATTTTATTAAACTTTCTCGATCTATGAAGTCTTTTATTCGTAAGCGTCGATTTATCGAAGTCGATAACCTTCGCAATTTCAAATCTATGGAAAATGACCATTTTAGTCATTTTCTTTACTTTGGGATCATGATAGGCTACCTTCGATTAACCAGCATAATGTTTGCGATTAAGACGAGATCCCACATTTCTTTAGTCTGTGCGACACAATTAAATCAGAGAATGATCCTCAATATAATTTCTCTATCTTTTCTTTTGCACGGATATCAATTTATGCAACCTCCTATAGTTAGAATTTCATCATAAGTCGAGCTATGACGGTTTAGTGTCACATTTGTCCCGACTCAATTCACTAACAAACTAACCACTAACTTTACTTTCTGTCAAATATCAACTGCTTTAAATTCAGTCAGTATATTCTTGTACATATTATTATATTCTGTATATTATCCATATCTTGTAAATATTCAACATGACTTGTACATTCTTTCAAAACACCTAATAAATTATCAAAACCATAAAACCCCAATATTGGTGGACTGTTGGTTATATATCATGTACATTATATGTATCCTGTATATATTCGTACTCATTTTCTATCTTATTCACATCTTTTTCAAACTTCTTTTCAAAATATTTTCTCCTAAAACCTTGGCCCCGTACCGAGTGCATTTTCGAAACTCTTATCACAATAAAACTTGAATGGTTGTGGAGTGGTTAGCCGTAGGCCTTCTCCTATCCCGAGTTCTTAACATTACCTTTAGGGTTCACTGTCGCAAAGCACTTACCATTCAAAATCAAAACACCTTTAATAAGAGAATGAAGTTCTCTTTGTATTGAAATAAAGAGAGAGGATTAAGTGTAGACTTCTTCCTCTCCGAGTTTCAGGATACTCACTGTAGAGTGTGTGGTCTCGATACTTGTCTTTCAATACGAAGACATGACTATGTTCGCCACACCTTTTATAACAAAACTTTGAGATAAAGAATTCGGTACTACCCACAAGGGGTTACTATCCGAGAACCTATTTCACCCCTAAAAACAACTCCTACAAATCAAATGTGACATCTTGCCTCGAATGGCGAAAGTTAATCTTTTCAAAAGGATATGTTACGTCTGTTCTACCGCAAACAGGTAACACCTAAGACTCCACGAGCGAGCAGCAATACACCTAACTGCTAGAATGTGCAAAATAACATCATCCAACAAAAACACCGGTTAATAGTTTCCCGAACTACGTTTGCTCTGATTTCTCTTACCAGATGAGAATACGTAGGCAGAAGATGATGATGTCTTGGCGAGCGCACTTTTCCACCTTTCACCGTAGGCCGAAATACGACTGCTCTGATTCTTTGCTTCTTTTAAGTAAAGATATGTAGGCACAAAGGCCCCAATCCTTGCCGAGCACGTTCCTATCTTTCTACCCGTAGTTCCCCGAACTACGTTGACTCTGACTTTCTCATATCTGTTGAGAATACATAGGCCTAGGACCGCGAAGTCCTACCGAGTCTCCCTTCTCCCCCTTTACCTCTCTTCCCCTATTTCTAACTGTTCTCTTTATCCCTTTTAACACGCTTAAAAATCAATATATTTTAGCAGATACCTTCACACATAGACAAACAAATGGTTCCCGTCGAGTAGGATGGATGCGTGGGGTGCTAAT